CCGTAAATAGATCTCTAAATAGAGAGTGGTTTTCAAAAACGTTCTGCAGGTGTAGAACTAACTTTTGATGTAATTTGGTGAATGCAAATTATTATTAATATTATTTTATATAATCAGTTTATTAAAGATATGTGCTATGTAATTTTTTGTAAATTATCTGAATTTGGATGTTTTTATATATTGATTTTAACTATTTTTTATGTAAATTACTTTGTATAATGTATGTGATTTGTTGATATTTATCCTTTTATATTATCCAAATAGCGTATTTTCATTTGTAATAAAACAAAAATTGAATTGAACAATAACAGTGAGTAAAACAATAATATTAATAAATAAAATTAATAAACAGTAATACTAATAATTATATAATTAAAATAACTATAATAATATTGATTATAATATTTATATTTATAATTATTTACTATATATATATTATATTATAAAATAGTGATCACCTCAATGGTGTTTTTCATCAATGCTGTAACAGACATAATAATCAAATTTAAATAATTTTAAACAAAAAATAAAATTAATTACAGAAAATAAAAGGAAAACTAAACCAAATCAAGAACAAAATTTACAAAAATCAAATTATAAAAATTATTTTATGCCACTCATATAGCATGTAAGGCATGTAATTTATAATTATAATTATTGAATAATAGAAAGTTATTTGGCAGCAGAGACTGAGTTATGAAATTAACATTTTCAATGAATCGTGACCACATACATTTGTTCCTCAATAATTCTATTCTGCGATATTATACTTGAAAATGTTTCTAAATTCACATTATTTCCTACCGATATATACAAAAGGAATTTCCTTGCTGAGCACAAGATTAACTCTAGGACCAGCCTATATTCGCATATTGGCCAAAACGAGTGTGTTATCTACACCGGTGCTCTCAAACGAAGTGAGCAGTATGTTAGCTTACGTCATCAGTCGTCAAGGAGAATAAGTGATAATCTTGCATTCATCTACAAAGCTACCGACATATGTCAGTGCCTGGCTTCCTCAATATGTCTTTGTTTCTCTAGTAAATTATAGGCCCACTACCACACAAAAGATTTCAATTTGTCATAGTATTGTGATAGAAATGTTAATAATTTTTAGAATGGGACATTAAGTGTGTTGTATGTGTGTTAAGTAGGAAGAGATTATTAAAAACAACAATAATAATAATAGGAGTGATGTTGCTTACCTGATATATTATCATACCAGATATACAGTACATTCCAAAATGCTTGTGAAAAAAATTTGTTTTTGTGAGTATTAACGGTACGATAATACACAGATAGGTCAAAGCATCACTATTTTATTTTCCTGATGCAAACTTGCATTGAAATAATAATAATAATAAAATCAAGCATTTATTTCGTATATCAATGTAAAAAAGTTGATAATCTATGCAAGCCGACTGTGATGTGTTTGGTTTCCGATGGCGGACAACATTATAGCTTGCATATATTACACTGTCATCATTTCTGACACTGCTTATTTAAATGCTAAATACTAGTTTGTTTTTTTTAAACATTTTTTATACAGTATATTTTAGTCTAGCCATAACATTTCAGTGGTGTGTTTAAAGGTAAATGACTTCAAAGAGAGTTAAAAATAAAAAGGATCTGTGGCCAGATACTATAGGATTATGCGTTGTTTACAGAACTAGCATGTTTAAAATTGATGAAGGAAAGTAAGTTGAAGTAAGCAATGGGGATAAATTTAAAAATGATCAAGAGCTTACAGTAAATTACAGAAAAAGTATGGAAGAGGGATAGTTACTGTGATTTCTAATAATATAATAAAGAGGTAACAAAAAATAACTTGAAAGATCAGACTGGCCAAATCAACTGTGCTAAACTGCCAAATATAATTAGTGTTATATTTAGTTTTATATTCAAAGAAAAATCATCAAAAAGAAAAATAAAAAATAAATTGTTACTACTTCACCACATATCTCCATAATTATACTATTTATAATTATAATAGTAATTATTAAGGCTCATAATTATTATTACAAAATAACACAATAATTTTTGAATGAAATTCAACATTATCCTAATAATAATAATGCTAAGTCTTTCATAGCATATATAGTATTCTTAGGTTTTTATGTGCTAACATACTTGGTTCCCTGAGGGAGTATTCCGTAATGTTGGAGCTAGTAATCAGCAGAATGACATTTGAACCTACTAGGTACCCACTAACACTTCTAGGCGTAGATAGACCGACTTTATGAAGTGGCTTTTCAACAGACTCAAGCAAGTGGCTTGAGTGTGAATTGAATCACTGAACTTAAAAGGGACCTAAAAAGATTTTTTTTTTTTTTTCTAGAGAGGATTTTTTTTTATGTCATTAGTAATAGAATCAACTTTACAATTGGTTTTTGGTAATTTTTCATGTAGTTATTGGCCATTAAGATTTACCCCTTTAGCAGCGTGACGTCGCTAATGTACCCAAAAATCTTATAGCACCGCGTGCAGTGCTATATACAGCACTATACAATCTTTGGTTACAGTATCTTACACAGTCACGTTGCTAAAGGGGTAAAATCGTAATGGCCTATAACTTCATAAAAAATTGCCAAAAAATGATTTTAAAGTTGATTCTATTACTAATGACATAAAAAATCCCCTTTAGAAAAAAAAAAATTTTCTTTCTAGGTCAAATCGCAACCATTGTGCTTCACTCCCACAACAAATAATAATCACAATAACAAATAATACTTGAAATATTTAAAAAAGAAGCAATATGTAAGCATGATTTACTGTACCTCTATATGATAATGTATAATAATTACCATTACTAATTAACCAATGTTCTAGAAAACAATACCATTATGATATTGAATATAATAACAATATATCAATATAAATGTGCCATATAAAGTGATTAATATTTCATTTCTTGGCTATGAATACATTACACAAATATGATTTATGCTGTCCATTAGCAGAAATTAAAATAAGTGTTTGAAGAGGTTTGTGAAGGTGTCAGTTCCCAACAGCGTGGGGATTTAAGGGTGAGGGTATCGCAAGAGGAGGTGTTAAGCATTGAAATGTGTTACTGGAATTTATATAGAGCATGGTAGCATTATGGGACACATTATCACCAATATATATTTGAATATTAAATAGTTCAATATTAAATTTTAAAGTCTGTTTGTTATAAAATCTGGGGAAAACTCAAACATTCAACTAAAATGTTTTTAAATGTTTTCATCTGTGTTTCATTGGAAGAAAATCATTTGCCTATTTACAGACTATTATGAAAATCCTTCCAATAATTATCTAATTTATAGATCAATTAAGAAAGATATAGCAATATAAGTTAATTGGTAAATGAAACATTTTATTGTTTAAATATTTAATTAAAAGCTAATACTTAAAAATACAAAATAAGTAATTCAAATATTTAATATTAAAAACAGTGTATCTTTACAATGTGGATGATATCTTAGGATTTATTTATTGATTATTATTTATTTCACAGATAAAAAAAAAAACCATTAAGAAGACAGTTACTTGGGTCTTAAAAGGTTTGCATAAACATAAAGATTATATCTATATTTCAATTGTTTTCAATCAGTCATCAACATTATGCGTAAATCTCGCCATCATGCATGTTAATGTGCGTTAACTACTTTGGAAATGCATTGCTCCGCATCTACACAGCTAAAGATCAATATTAATAATGCATTCCAAGGCTTTCAATTGCAGACATTTACACAGCGCTTGCATTGTGCTCATATCACACGCTATCAAGTGTTTGCGCACGTGGCATTCTTCCGGTCTACGCTGTTCTAACAAGATAGTATCAACATCGCTTTTAATGGTAATGTTGCTATGGTGACCGACTAAACTATTTAAAAAGTCTGTATAAAATCACTTTTTGCTCTATCCTACAAAGTATTCATTAAAAAAAACCACTGATAGTTGAAGTAATAATAGGTAAATTATTTAAAAAAAATTTCCACAATGTTTTCATAATGTTGAGTTAAAATAAATGATTGTAAATAAAACATACCAGAATATAAAAGTAATTATTTTTTCTAGGAGGAACTATTTAGAATTTTATGAATTGTATATATCTTTTTCTTATTAGCTTTCATGATTTGTTTTATATACTGATCCTTGGTAAACTCTTCATTTCAACCATATTTTGTATTTTGAGTATTTCTAAACCATATAAAAAAAAAGGTTTATCAAATAAATACAATTCCATCTACAAGTTGTTATGGTGTACAATATACCCACTTCTTATAATACTTTATTTGTTCTATCTTCAACATAAGCAATATGTCTACATGATATATTGTATTTAATGTGGATACTTTTTGTGATGTTTGGGGGAAACTGGTTATGGTGCATTGTACTTTAGTAAGACATTCATATTTCTATTTTTTATTTGATATCAAAAGAAAACACATTTAAAAATTAATAATGTTTTAATTGTGGTCACTGCGAATATAAAACTATTAAATCTTTCCAATTAAAATTGAGCATCGATTTTCAAATGAGAAACATGGTGCAATGTACTGAGAGCAGCTTAGCTCAGTCGGCTAATCTGGTGGTAGCCACGTGTGTGCGCTGAACCGTGCGGATCTCTAGGTCCCCAGTTCAATTCCATCGCTGCCTCTCCTTGTGTTTCAGCTGCAGGGCTGAAACACAAGTACAATAGTGCACCATTTTTCGGATAAGACATTTAAGCCGTTGGTCCCGCGTGCATTTGTGGCTCATGTGCACGTTAAAGAACACAGTACACTCTTCGGAAAAGAGAAGGGGATTGTCTCTTGGTGTGCTGCCCATTCACCGCCAGAAGGACCCTGCTGGAAATAAGTCTTCTTCTGGACTTACCTGGGCTATCCTTGGTGTTTACACTGAATAAATCTAATCTAACATGAAATTAAATATTCATCTTTATCATTCATAACAAAGTAAACATTTTATTAAGTTTAAAAAATTTAATCAATATAATTGTAAATTCTGAAGTTTACCTCCTCAAATTTATTCGTAATCATCTTGAAAGCTTTGATAATAGAGTCCGTTGATCCCGTTATTGTGACGATCCTCTCTGGGTATGTAGTTCCGTCAGATATGTTGATTCTAGCTCCACTCTGCCGAGTTAAAAAAACAATTTAAAGGACATTAGCATTGGAAAGAAAGTACATTTGAATCGGTCATATAATGGATTTAGATTCGTTCGTAAACCATACAAGTACATTGCATTTAATGAGGTAACTAGTGTTTGATAATATTCAACTGGGTCTTGAACCTGTAACTTGTAAAGTATATTGTAACTGTTATTAATGAAACATTATTTTGAACATTAGGAGCGAGAATTGCCGACAAAACGAGACCATTATCAACCAAGCAAATACAGCTTTATCACTAAATTCACATTTCCTTTGGAGTTTTATTGTATTCTAATCTTACAACTTTATTTCATGTTATCCATAAAAATATTATTCTTTGAAGTTGGATTATATCTATATCTCAGAATAATACTCACGGCGCCATTAATAAAACATGATGATGAAAAATAATTGGTAATGATAAACAAAGTAGTAAAAAATGGAACCTATCACCTCGTATAACAAAGATAATTTAAATTAACTCAATAATTGTTTATGATCCTTGTGGTTATTCTGACAGTATGATGTGTATAAATGAAATTGATATCTGAGAAGAAATTTTGTCTAAAAGGACAATGCTACTTTACTGGAAATTTCCACAAGTATTTCAATAATTATCATCATCATTACCACCAACTATCTTTATCATCATCATCATCTTCATAAAATCATTATCATGATTAGATTCACTATTGATAACTTTTGACCCATGTGCCCAAAAAAAGAAATAACATGATTACCATTAGGACAAGTAATGTTGTTGTCCAGGTTCACAGATATTTTGCAATCTGAGTTGGTCGATCTATGGTTTATTGGTAACCATCTAGTACCCCATGAATTGGGCCACAGGGTTAGAATCCAAGGTTCAGGTATCAAATTTACTAATTGAATCAATTTTTAACATAAATACATATTTTGAAGTTCCTCCTTGGTAAAAGAAAAATCAAGATTTATGGTTTCGGGCTTGTAGTGTTATTATAAATATAAACCCCACTATTTCATGATATTATAAATATAAAAATAATTATTTCCTTTTCATAGCATTGTTGACTTGGACTAAATATTACACTTTAAAGAACAGTAGCATCTCTACGTACTGTAAGCTCTCAATTACATGTTTGCATTAAAACAAATCTTTTTCTGTTCTAACCCAAGACATTTGTGAAAAAGCTTTACAAAATTAGGTCATGAATTAAGACCATAGCTTGATTTATTTAATGGGTGCTCTAGATGAAAGCATTTAAAAAGTGCATTTCATGCCTTAAGATAACAACACACAGAGTAATATTTGTTATCATTGTCACTTCAATTACGACTCCTCGGGTCACCTCATATGCTTATGATGGGACATCAAATTCATTAACTGAGAAAAGGAAAAACAATTTTTAAAATAATCAAACAATGTTCCTGAATACGCATGCAAAATTAACCAAAGTACACCGAGAGTTAACCTGACACAATTCTTGTAAAAACTCACTGACAACTATAAACTATAGAGGGCGCCATTTGATTGTGAATTTTTAAAACTGCACCAACAAAATATTATACATAATACCTGCATCATAGTATTGATAATAGTTCTTAAACATAAAAAAGTGAATATTAATATTAATCAATTTTTAATCTCTAATAATGAATTTTGTGCTACATTTTCAAATCTTAATTTTTTCTTTCAATTTATCTATAATTTCTTTACATAATAAAGTTAATAGTCCTACAGTACTGTATTAATACAGTAGTATTAATATATTCCAGTCAAACTGCAATTGGCAATGAGTGCGTACCCTTACCGAAAAAGATTAATAATTTTAAGGAGACAGTTGAATTAAAAAATAACTAAATTAAACTAAAAAATAAAAATAGATTTTGTTAATTCCAAAGCTTCCATTTTTTAATCCTTAAATTCACTGAAAATACTATAAAGACTTTGTGAAGTTTTTGTAAACAATGAGATTTTGAAATCAACCAAAGCCTCTCAAATTGAGACTAATGCTTTGGACCACCACTGGGAGCCTTACTTCCCTCTGGCTACAGACAAATCATAATTTGCTCACATGGCCCTCTCAGTGCATTTTCCTCCTGCATTTTTTAAATAATTTTATATATCCATCACTCATTATTTAATATGTATAATGTTTTGCCTAGGAAATCAAATTATGCATAATTTATCAATTTCCAAAACCACTGAACAATCAGCATATTACTTGACTGTGGGCAAAATGCTGCATAGGAAATTTCAAATAACATGTTTTATTTAAATCATAGAAGGAAAATACTCTTACACCTTGTAAAAGAGGCAATTAAAGACGAAGGCTGCAGCTTAAAATACATCTAGCAGCCCCTCAGGTGATAAGCTAACACACCTGAGCCAATAGGGAGATTCACAACCACACATTCTCCATTACGAGTGCTTATCATAACAATAAGTCGTCGTGAATATATTTTCATTGGCAGATGGGTACAGCTTGTTCTAAGATTTCTATTGTAAATCAAAGGTGAACAAATTACACCATTCAAGATTGAATAATTTCTAATAATGTCATAGTTTACTACTAATTGAAGATAAAACAATCTAATATCATATATTTATGTTATACACTACTTAGTAAATCAATATAATTAGTAAGATCTTAAAGAATTAGGAAGAAAAACAGTGGAATGATCAGGTGGTTGTTAGGATCTTTGACTTTATTTTTAAATCCAGAAATATGATACAGTTTATCTTTGGTACCTGAAAATTTGGGGCGGTCTCAGGGTTCAGTCTCAAAAGAGGGTTAGCTTTGTGTTAAAAGATTGAAGAGTATTATTTAGATAGTTCTTTGAATAAGTGGTTTCAAATTAGATATATGATAGATATGAAGGATTGGCAACTTTCTTCGCAAACCGGCCACAAAACAATAATTATAATAATGTTGGATAAAAATAAAATTTTATTTTCCACCTGTTGGCGCATTTGCTGCTGTGAAAAAAAAATGATAGTTAAAAAAAAATATAAACATTTTTATTAAGCACATGGCAATGAAACCTCCCAAGTTGAAATATGTTATTTATTTCTCATAACTGAAGAAACTTAAGCCATTGTTTAACGAGGTCCCCAGAAACTGAGAATTTAGGGATTTCAAAGGCTTAATTAATCCATTTCAGAGTCTAATAATATGTAAAAAATACATATAATTTTTTTCTCCCTGAGGAATTGTCTTTGCTCCCTGATTGGGGGAAGCTTTCCCCCACACTGGCGCCCCATCCCCCCTCCCCAAGCAGATATGTCATGGAAGTAGAAAAGTTTGACAATCCTAGTGTGACTGTTGTCTGTGTTTGTCTGTGCCTACTATGAGGCTCATTAATATCACTTCATCTATAGTTCTTTTTATGATGTGATACAGGTATACTGCAGCGGCTAGTCTATGTACTGAGTGCTTTGAGATTTCTGTAAAAAGTGAACTACATTTCATTTACCGTATAATTATTTAATTTAATATCAGCCAATCACAGCAGGAATTGGTAAATATTATTAGAGATGTGATTGGTACTTGAAAGAACAATGTCACATAGTTGAAACCAGGCCTAGGCAGACAAAGTTCATAAACAAGCGCCCTCAATTTTGTTTTGCTGTATTCCATGTCATTTAGCCTCAGTCAAGAGATGTTTCATGTTATGGTCATTCAATGCTGTGAAAAAGTAGTTAACTTTTAACTGCTGCTCACAAATTTCATTTTCAACATCATTGGCATTAATTTTTGCAATATTTATAAATCATATTTGCCATCATTCTTCTCAATGGGGCACCTCTGGAAATAAATCCTGTGTTAGGATTTAGACAGTCATAACTTTATGATATAGGAACAATATATTATGTTATATCGGATGAAAAATAGTACCAACCTACTTAAAATGATGACATAATTAATGTTGAAATATTGAATCTCAACACGATGGCGTGTATTTCAATACTTGGAGTATGTATTATACTTTCTTATCTGAGATTAATCAGTGGACCTTTCGGAAAATTGTTTATCTAGTATTAAAATATGTCAAAAGTAAGATTGGAAAAAGTAAAACAAAAAGAAATTCTTATTTGTTCATTTATGAATAAATATTTTGTGATCGAATTAATATTTTGTGATCGAAATAATATGCAAATAATAATCCACATTCAATGAGCCATTTTTAAAAGATTAAAAGTGACTTAATGTGCGCTTAACGCATGATTTAAACCTAGCATAGCATATGCTAGATTTAAACAAGCTTCAAGACATTTTACTACATTTATAAAAGTAGGCCTATTATTATATTGAAAACCTCAACACTTTGTACACCCTTACAATCATTAATCAAAAATCCAAAGTACATTCTCATTTATCGAACCCATGAACAGAATTTGTTAAGGGCTATTCTAAGCTTCTGGAGAGATGCATTATCATTTTATTCTTGATTTGTATATTTAGATGAGCCAGAGGTGGCTCCAGAAATTTGCCGGCGAGGGGTCCAACATGTCCGACAGCAGGGTCCAAACAAGGGGCTGACCAGAGCTTTGATCAGGGTCTCAGATAAGATGTTCTGGTAGGGTTCACAGGGAGTGTTTTAATGGCTTCTATGGCTCAAAACTGTGCATTTAGAACACAATATTAGGAATTTTCAATGAAAAGTGGAAATGGCAGTTTGTTGCAGCGATTTCTACTCAGGTTGTGAACCTCGTCGTTGAGGATTTGAACCATACACTGACCATTATCGGCCGACAATGCTTAGTCACGGGTTGTGGAGTGGCTCTCGCTATGTTTCATAGGTGCGAGTATTTTATGGCTTAAAATATAATAAATATTGTGGTCGCCTCTTATCCATATTGATTGTCAAAAAAAAAAAAAAAAAATCTTAGATAGGCAAATTAATACTTTTTGTCCGATAAGCTTGCTGTGGCTTCGTACAACAGAGGGTCCAGGCCTGTCCGACAGGTTAAAAGGCCCCACCCCGCTGGCACCACCACTGCCAGTTACGTGTAAGTGCCAATAATTTAAAAGTAATTCCAAATAAACCATGGTTTATGGTTTTAGTTTTTTTTTTTTAATATCTATATTTCTAAAATACATGGGTGCAAAGGGTACATTTACAATTGTAAAACACTTCACCAATATCATTGGAAATTCGAACTAATCATTCATATTTCTATAAAGCAATTACTACTTTACACTTGAGATTGAGCCTCTTAACTAATTATAAAATGTTTATTAGTAGTGTGAGATTGAGCTCCTTATCTGATTACAAAATACATACAGTATTATGTTGATGTTTGAAGCTCAAAGCATTACGCATATAAACATTTGTTGTTTTATTGTTATATGTCGTGTAAAGCATCCTGTTATTGGCGTCACATTGTTGTTTGATATGTAGAAATCAAAATTATAAATGAAAAAAAAAAATATTGCACTCAACTGACATGCAAAAACTAAAGAGTAATTTGTAATTGATGTATCTCCATAGATGTGATTGGATTTTTTTTACAGACCATTTCTGATTAAGGGTATTTGGATTAAAAGGGATAAGACGATATTTGTTGGCTCTGCCGTCACTTACCTCCTCTCGAAACTTCTTCACAGTGTCACCTTTCTGCAAAAGAATGAAGAATAATCGCCTTAAATAAATGGAATCAAACATTACAATGTGCACCAGATGGTACCGGAATCATTGACAAATATGTATAATCCATTCATTCATTTGCTTCCTAATTTAAATTAATCGCAAAGTATGTTTAAGTCAATCTTCGTTATGGATGCTTCATACATATTCAAACAACTTCTCCCATTGTTTTTAGTCACCATCTAATGGTTATAAGCAACTTGGGATTATCTACGGTGAGAATTTTGTCTTTTTTATTTTGAATTGTTGTCTGTTTTAATTCATAAGAAAATTTGATTTAATTTTTCTGATCAAGGTGATTTTCTCCCTGGTATGTAGATTATATAAAAGTATGATTTGGAAACAAAACAAAAAAAGAGCTTATGTATAGATTTATAATAAGTGAATCATAGATTATAATAATGTATCATATCCAAACATGATAAACGATGATGATAACAATGATGATGATGACAATGACTGATAATATTGGTGCATGATAATAATGACTATATAATGATGGTGATGATAAATGACTACTATATAATAATTGTCTTGAATGATAATGATTATGATGTTACTGATGATGATAATAATAATAATAATAATAATAATAATAAAAATAATAATAATAAAAATAATAATAAAAATAACAATAATAATAATAATAGCACTAAATCAGACTTAAGTGGGATATATTGTTATTTTCCCCTTAAAATAATGGATATTTTCACCTTAATGTTGTTTTTTTAATTGTTCTCTAACTTCTCCATTGTCTAAGTTCCCCTTAAGGTAGGTTTTAGCAACATAATAATAATAATAATAAAGCTGATGTTGATGTCAATGAGTCAATGATAATGCAAATAAAATATAATACAGCTTTAATGATATTAATGTTCATGATATAGATGTTCATCATTATGATTATGAAGCCATGATGATGATGATAATAATATTAACACATACAATGGTATACAACTATATAGTAATAACAGTATATACCGGTAGCCTAGACCAGTGTTATGATATTGTAGATGTTGATAATGTTATTATTGATGATGATGGGGATGATGTTATAATGATATTAAATGTTAATGATCATAACACTCAAGATCATTACCAATATCGCCTTCAAGTATTATGGTAAACAATTATTTATATATTTTTTATACAGTATACGTGTGCAACACAGAATTATTATTTATTTCAAGAAATATGATAAAACAGCTACATTCAATCATCATAATCATACGTGATCACAGAATGATTGAAACATACTCTGGTTTCTATCTCATTTTACATTCACCAATTCGCTCCAAGACACTTCACATCTAACATATTTATATTCTAGCTGGATAGAACTCTTGAGAATTATGCCGCAAGAGGTAGGCCGCCATTTGACATAGCATCAGAGATGTTACAGCTAGGCTGCCATAACACATATACAAGTTACTACCGTGGTAATGAGATGGCGAAGATGTAGGGCAGTTTGGCTTTGGCTACATACCACGTAAACACTGACACAGCGGCGACCAAGCCTGCAGCTATGAGAAAAGCTAAGAATGTGAAGAGAATTTTTATGAAAACTTATCAATTCTAAGAAGTTTGTGCATGAACGCAGTTGATCGACGCATGATTAACTAAAATGCATGCAGTATGATTGCACGCTCACGTGTTATCGTGCACGTGTATATATAAGTGAGTGTCTAAGGATGTGTAACATCATCTATCTATCTGTATGTAAATTGAAGTTAAGAGCCTGCGAGCTAAATCCAGAATTATGTATGTTTGCTGTTTTTATAGTGAGTTGTTTATAAACACAATGATATTAATGACATTGAGTATAATTAAATAATAACCATAACACTTGAAAGGTGAAGAATAATTAATGAGAAGAATTAAAGTCAGTGATGGAAAAATTTACAAAAACTGTTTTTTTATTTCACTGGTATCAATACTACTATAATATTAAATTATTAGCAAATAATAACAGTGATAATTATCATAAGGATGATGATGATAATCCAACAATAATCAAAAATTTAAAAGTTTGGTTGTGAATTATGTATTCTTGCAAAAACGGCCTTAAACCATTATAGTGATACAAGTTTTTTTCTGTTTTAAAATGAAGTTATTATATTATTATTATTATATAGGTTCAGAATAAACATTATTTCTTTGACCTTTCTGGACTAATTCAACTTTGTTCTATTCTAGAGCCATCAGGCGTTTGACATGTGACCTGCTAGGAACTGATTACTCTACAAAATGCCAGACCTATAGGGGGTAAACAAATCACAGGTCATCGACCACAACTCAAAAAATAAAACAAAATATGTGGAAACAATGGTGCACGATCGGTCACGTATACTACGATCATGTATACTATGATGTATAAAGCATATATCAAAGCAAAAAAGCAAATATTTATTTCTCTCTTTACACCATACTATACTATTAAGCTATACCATATCTTCTTTCATGTGAACTGAGCAGGAAAATTCCTGATAAGATTTTCCATTTATCTCTAATTTCTATTTTGACTTATTATTTTCTGTTCTCAGGTGTCTGTGGTTGACCAGCCTAACAGGAGCACTGTTCGACCTTGTTTGTTGACCATGGGTTAGCTCCCAAAATAAACGATTAGCTGATAATAATAATGTATTGAAGATTGTTGCTATATTCTTATTGGAGGGTGTGCTTGCTTCGCTTGCTTACACTCTAGTATGTGAACGTCACAATTAGTTTCAATAAAAAGAAGAATCTGACCACTGAAAGAACACAGGTTGCAAGTTGCATGTTATCTTACTCAGATATTTCTTAAGTTATGTAATATAAGAAATGCAACGGTAAGATCATGTTTTATGATATTCAGAGCATGCTTAATATACAATTAGCATTGCATTTATGGTTTGATAGCAGTTTCATATCATTTTTTATAACATAAAAGTATTTAAAAACGCTAAAATGATGAAACAGCAACAGTGTTAATTGGTATGGGGAAATATCTTGTATTTCTCTCCATTTTCCTTGGAAAACATTTTTTTTTGCATTAAAATTAACATGATTTACAATACAACATATTTTGGTCAGGGGTAGCTAAAACAAAATCATACTGCAACTCATTGAGAAACCAAAAACTAACTGTGCTTTGATGAAATTGACTGTCTTTGAAAGTTGCACTTTTGGCGTTCCATTGCGGCAATTGCGGAAGTATATACACACATGCTCCTCGCGAGCAAGCTATCGGTCTGGTGAAAAGGACGGTAACAGTAATTATTTTTCCCTCAATTAATTTGAAATATGGAATTTATTTACTTTGTGAGATCAATAATAATATTAAATAATAATTCTGGATTTATATAGCGCCTCACGTTGACACAACCTCGAAGACCTTGATTACCTATTTTGTTACAATTCTTCAGATCGATTGGCTTTGAATCCTAGATGTCCAAACAATAATTGTCATAAAAATATGTATGTAAATATACAGTATACAATTTATAGAACTACCAATGCATTTAAAAATGCATTAATGTTCAACATATAAATATTTTTGATAATAAATAAACATAATTTAATAGAAGACGTAAGGTTTATTATAGGACACAGGTAGCTAGCTTTTGTATTTAACAGATAATAATCTTTAATATATATAAGATTTGTTAATAAAAGAATGTTACAATGCTAAGTGTAATTCATTTTAAGCTAACAATAACAGACACATGAAGCACTCAGAATTCTCCTTTGGGGTAAAATAATCCATGAAAAACCAATAATTTCAATTTAAAATAACAATTCAAATAATGGAAATGGCAATTATAGAAATTGAAAAGGGATTTGTATAATTGCAAATATATATTATTTCATCAGACTATCTGTCGATCAATATTTCCAAATATTGATTTTCCATCAAAAGAAAAACTGATACAAAAATAATTGGTGATTAAAATAAAATACTGCCAGAAGTTCAAGTAAATTATTATTGACAAAAGAAAGAAGATTTATTAAGAATATAATTGTTTATATACTTAGAGCCTATACATAGTCATTGACATTTTCCTGGGGATGAAATGGTAGAGGGAAGAGGGTTTTCAAAATCTGCTGGATTTGTAATAGTTGTATGGACATCTGTTGCACATCTCAAATATTTTGATTCGTTATCAAACAAATACAGATTTGTTCTCTTTTGTTGCTCTGTTTAATTAATAGTACCAGCCAGAATTGAATACCATTTTCTTTCTCTTACATAATGCCTATTTCTGTCTCTAAAATTGGTCATTCAAATCGGTGGTTGACAATCCCAGGCTAATGTTCCTTAAAGGGACTTTCTATGAGAGCTGATGGTGTAGGGGAGCCTACACGTGCCCTTGTGGTGTCTAGAAGTAGATCTGAGGGAAAAAAGGGTGGGTTTCGGCCAAACTAGACACACCCATGGGTACAGGCCTGACAATCTAGCTACAAAAGGAAAAATAAACAGGAAGAGGCTTATAGAGTGTAAGTGATGAATATTTGAATATTCATGAGATTTTTCTCATAACTTTCGACCAATTCTGTTCTGTTTATTTTGACAAAATTTGAAATTTGGGGCCTTCAGAACTATATCCCACTTATAATACCAGGGTCCCGAATTTTCTGCCAGTTTAAATTATATAATATTATGATTTATCTTGAAATCATCAAAGGTATGTCTGTTTGATGTAAATTTTTTTTAAAATAACATAAAAATAACATGTCAAACAACAATATATATATTCTTTTTCAACTTACATTTTTGATAATGTATGATGTTTTATGTTTAATATCAGCTGCACTTCGGGGAGGAATGTTTATCATTATTATTATTATTATTATTATTATTATTATTATTATTATTATTATATAATTTTTTTGATGTACATTCAGAAAAAGTGTAGGATATAAAAACTCTTCACAGCACAACTGAAAGCATTTACGATTACACTTGTGCAATCAATATGAATGCAAACTCGTTTGATATCTATTATTAGCCTTTAGTTATTAGCACTAATCAATAGAGTAACCTTTTTAGAAATTCAAATCTAGAATTTTTGTTGTTTTTCTAATTTTTTTTCCCTCTATAAATTAATAGTTAATTTTTATGTATTAAATGATCAAAATGTGAATTTCATGATCTTGGTAAAGCTCTGTACAGATCACATTTTCTTTGACAAAAAACTGTTGTATGCCCATATATAGTCATGATGTGCCTATGTATCGCCATGATGTGATGTCATCATGACCATATTTAGGCATGTCACATGATTTTGTCAAACAAAATTTGATAGTCTGGACAGGATTTAGGCCAAGTAAAAATAATTAAGCTTAATGAAAATAAAAATGCCATGGATTTTCCTCTTTCTTGTTTCTTATGTAATTTGTTGTCTGAGCTACAGTGGCATGTAAAAAGCTTGTACTCCCTTAGCGCGTCTCAATGAAAACTTTCCGAGCGCAAACATTTTGCACAAACGTAGTTAAAAATCAGCTTGCAGGCTTGCATCACCATATTTTGCCAGCTGACACCCCCTCCCACAATGCTTGAGCACCCACAATCCTTGAGCACCCACTTTAACCTTTGTGCCCTTCCATCAGCCTTCCCTTATCCCATGTCAAAATTCCTAGTTACAGCGCACTATTATTCGAGATTGAAATATTTATTGCTGCATGTTTGATTTGTGCAGGATTTTTATAAAGCTTTGACTTGTAAAATATAAAGACCTTTGAAAATAGATGAGGAAGAGTCATTTAGCCTAAACTAAATGTGATACCACGATACAAAATGTAAACAGGAAAACAGTGGAACTTAATTTTGAATTGATAAAATTCCTCAACAAATCTGAGCAGATAAAATGAGAAAAGAACTTCTGCTTATGTGAAACATGTCACAGAGACCGCATACTAATTAATTGAGAGAAAATTCTTGTCTGTACATGTACATTATTATCATCGGTGTAAATCTTGTAAATATTTTATCTCAATAAGGATAAGCACGTTTCTATGCATAACTCCAGATGAATCCTTAATTTAACGTTCTCAAATTTCAATACGGAAGCAAGGAATTGATTTCTTAAGCCGCGTGTGTCTTGTCTTTGAAAAGCATTGTCAGTTTTGAAGCGTGATATGTTGAACCTGTAGTCTCAACAAGTAGTAGGTCAAACAAGGTCGCTATCAGCTTAAGAAAAAATAACATCAAGATTCGCTTGCAAGAAACCTTGGAAACAGGATATGACCAAACTAAGCAGGTGGTTCTATTGATTATTGTTGTTATGGTAACAACCTATGGATTCAACGCTTGGGTCACAATCACGAAGACTAATATGAATAAATTTGATGGAATGCAAATTTCTTTGTATTAGTTGGTGCAGTAAAGTTATGATTTTTTAGATTATAATAATTAATGCTCCAAATTATGATTATTAATAAGTTGGTGGTATCACATTATCTGCAAACTCAATCATATATTATAAAGTTGAGTCAAAATTGCAAAATTACAGTCTCCATTGAATTATCCAGATTAGGAATATTATTTAGTTCATAGTATCTTCTAATTAATAACTCTTAAATCTATTACCATTATTTTCTTATTACTTCAAGTAATAATTTTAAAATTCTACCAGTTTTATTATAACATAAATATAGAGGCATTGATTTACTCTGAATGTTATCTAAGGTATTGATTTTTGTTCCAGTAAAAGATCGACGGCTGAAAATATATTCAGAGAAACAGGAAAAGGCTAGGATCTTGTACGCAGTGCTCATGGGAATTCCCATCCGTCATGTTGCTATAAAAATGCCACTACAAAGGCAGATGAAAAAACTGCACATGTTTGGATGCAGATGTTGCCATGCAGGGCATTGTGGGAAGGATGTAAAATTGCATAAAATTCTTATTGCAAATATTAAGCTTGATTGATGTACGTGTTTCTGTAGTATATGCTGGGATTTACAGAAAAAAATGAATAAATTAAGGATACACATGTTTCTGTAGTATATATGCTCGAATTTACAGAATAAATTGAATAAATTAAAGATATCCCAGTCTGTATTAAGCTAACTAGAACAATGGAATTCATTATTTGAATTTCTGATTTTGTATATTTGTAGATGAAGAACTAGGACGACTGTCTGTTTAAAGTAATAAAAAAAAACAAAAAACGAATACTTGATGTAAATTAGTAGCTTTCAATTGAAGGTTAAACTAAACAATACTGTTTGGTCTAGAATCCCAGCATCCCAGTAGATAGATTCCTGATAACCAACTAGAAAAAAACCCACATAAGTAAGGTAATACTTGACTGCCTCACATTTTGGATGATTTCAATTCAATTTCCACTTTCTGAACTTTCTGAAATAATACCTTGCTCGTTTGTTGATTGCAAAGGAGAAAAATGGCTTACAATGGATCATGAATTTTGTTGGCCCACATGGATATGGTCTCGGTAAATTGATTTAATGTAATTCTGCATAATGTTTTACCTACGGACACACGAGGGAAAATATGGCCTGGATAACACACAACGTATTTGTATGTGAATTTGAATATTTTCAGTGGGAGTCAGTAAGAGTGTACATAAATTGATATGGACTTATTCTAATATTTACCACTATCATTAATGATGATGAAGATGATGATTATGATGATGAAAATAATGATGGTGATTATATGATAAATCTCCTCAACAATCATATTAATGTTTTTATATGACTAAAGTAAAATTGTAATAAGAATCAAAATTTAAAATAACTAATAATATATGTCCCAAATTTGTCAATCAATTATGCTAATGAAATGGTGATAATGACAACAACGATGATTATGAAGATAACACTGATTATGAAGATGATGGTCATCATTATGATTATTAATATTTGTTATATTACTACCGTTAATGATGATGAATACTGATGCTGACAGTATATTTTTCGGCAAGAATGATAACACTTAACCAGCATTAGCCATGCACTCGTGAATCACACAAATCGAAGATGAGTAACAATACATGCGTCTATACCAACAACAGGAACTGTAGCTGTAACAAACACTACATGCCTCCCTACCAACCGCGGCACTGAAGTCGTAACATGATTAGGACTCATTTACTGGCATTTAATTGGATTTACTCGAGAATTGTGTGACTGACTGCACACCAGCTTAAAATCCTGAGGCTACTGGCCAGATATGTGTGTATAGAAACCTATAGTATACAACGGCATTTGTAACATAATGCTAGTTAAGGCTGTGTTATGTTGCATTCATAGTGCATTATTAATCCGAATAAATGTAATATAAAATATCAATATAAATGTAAAGAATATTTGTGAATGTAATGAAATACTGTTTACATGGGTTAAATATGAATTGGCAGTCGCAAGGTGAAACATGAAAAATTTTATGAGATAGTAAGGATTAAAATATCTTGCATGTCATATACAGTACTTAAGAAAAATTCAGTCTGTCTGTATGTTATTTATGATAATGTCTGTATGTTATTTATGATAATTTATTAAGTCGACATTTTCACATTGCTGAATGACAATGGTATAATCGTCATCACCATGTCATTGTCAACAAGTTAAAAAAAAACAAAAACGTAAACAACAAAAAATCTGATGTTTTTCACAATTTTGTCCAAAAGTATGGAAACAAAAGTAACGTAAGTTTAATTTAATTGCATAATATTCTATTATATTTGATTATATATTAGATAAACCATGACAGGTTGATAAAGTCAATTGTACGTACCTTTCCAATAATGCTTCCCACTTCCTGAAAAACAAGAAAATCAAAAACATTCAAGTTTCAATAATCATTATTCTTCATTGCACAAGTCATTGTAAATTAACAGTTATTATGATTTAATAATAAAAAAATATTCATTTTAATTTAGAGCGTCCTTGGGGTTTTATATCCATTTTTAAACATTTTAATAAATATCTTAAGTAATGGCCACTATGTAATTATTCCTATGACTTCTGATAAATATAATGGAAATTGCCCATTTATATTTTGCAGTAAATGACAAAAATAAAAAATACCATAAATCAAGAAGGTAGTAATGTTTTGGAATATAATTATCAGATAAAAAATATCTTCCATTGTATATTACTTATAATTATATTATAGGTATATACTGTAAAAATTATATCAGTAAATTCAGCATCAGGTCTGCAATAATATTAAAAATTGAATATGAAACACAGATCATAACTAGGAATTTTAATGGCTATGAATTCAAAATTCAGTTGTATTTGTATAAACAGTAAAATCAAATTCCTGTCATGTACAAACAATAAGCACTCTCTTCAAGATGCTTTTTGTAATTAATTGACCCATCAATTATTATATAACTAACATTAAAAATCAATTCCATTAATCATGCTATTATTGTTTTTTTTTTAATTACTGATAGACTACAGTTGAAGTAAATTATCGAAAAATCATTAAATTATTTTCTTTCCTCACTTTAAAAGACATAGATTCAAATTGTATAAAAAAATTATAAACTTTGCTTTCAGAAGATCATACATTAATAACTCCCATGATATATCTCAACTCTGTTTCATCCATTTCTTTAACGACCTTGTTTTTATTGCAGAAATTCTGAACTGAACATTAAATTTTGAAATCAAAACTGACAGAAGATTGGTTGAATTTCAACATCATCTTCCATCACCTGAAAATATTTATTTATTTATATAATGTATTCAGAGTTATATTATACATTCTTTTAAAATACGGACTTGATTACAAAAAAGATGCTAACATCCGTTTCGAAGATTAAGTATTCAAGGATAATACATTATTAGTAAATATTTTGTATTTCTTATTAAAGATTACAAAAGATTAAATTTATCTTTTTTTGTCCAATTCCAAATATTTAAAATCGGAAATTTTGGTTGGCCCCTGAGGACCTACGGCAGCCACAGTACAACGCCAGTACCAACATATAACAGATAAATCCCCCCCCCCCGTCTAACTCTCACATGAAGGTTATTCAAGGAACAGAGCAGTCTGACTCCAATTAAAACCCGACTCTGGCCGCGAGATCTACAGCGCAAGAAGCAGGAACCTCTCGGCCAAAAACTCAGTTCAGCTTTCTTATTTGTTTTTACTTGATTAATAATGTATTAAAATTTATACTATATTTTCAAGGTTTATTAATATTTAAATTAATTTTTTTGTTTTAATTCAGACTTCATAAAGAGTGTACATGTACATACTTCCCTAAACTACAACTGAAGGTTTTTGCTTATTAGTGTGACAGTGGCAGGGTTTCCATAGCAAGGGGTCCAATTTTCACAACAGGGGTCCACACCCCTCAGCTTCAAACTAGGTACATCTACATGATGAAATGAAATCAGCTTCTTTCTTCTCTTTTTAACATGCATAAATTATTCATGTAAAATAAGTTATTTTCTGTTAATTAAACAAGATGCTAAGACGAAAAGCTATAAAGTAAATATTGTTGACTATTTAGAGAAACAATTTCTGTAACTTCAGTTTTGGTTATTTTTGTTGTTTTATTTTACTGCATGTACCAATTTTATTTATATATATATTTTTTATGATTTTTATGAAAGGCTAAAAATAAAGAATGAATGAATAGCTTCTAAGAATTTTCATTAGCTTTTTACTTTAAATGGACACAAAAAATAGTAAACAATTGTGGACATTGATTCAAATTCTTCTTGCATGTAAGGTCTAAAATAAACTCACTTGGGGAACAGAGGAAAATTTATATCATAAATAAATCAGAAAATAATAATAATAATAATATTTATTTGGCAAAGTAAAAAGTATACATACAATATTCTTGCCAGGAGTAAGTAATAGGCATAAGCCCAAACAGTAAACTGCTCTTAATCCATCATCAAAAACAAATACAATGACAATACAATATAAATATATACAAAAATTAAATTCAAAATAAATTGATTTAACTATAACAAAATGAAAAACAGAGATAATTAATAGTTATTATTATTAATATTTTGAGATCGAGTATTTTGTGAGTCTGAAATGGATGTACATTGTTTAATTTCATTAGGAAGTTGTTCCCATAATTTAGGAAAAATAACAAAAGATGAATTTAAAAATGTATTGTCTTTTTAAAAACACTATAGTTACTGAAGGGAAGTTAACTCAGTTTGCCAATTTGTCAAAAATATGAGGATGTGAATGTAAATATTAGGCTGATTAGGTCTCAAAATTTGTTTCATTTCAAATACAGTATTGATATTAGTGCGAGAGAAACAATTTGTACAGAAAGTTTCTGGTCTGTTTTTTGTTCTTCTATTTTTTGGAAGGAAAACACAAGAGCATTGATGGCTAAGATGGCATAATATGTGCCTATGGGCCTGTTTATTAATTCTAAAATTAATAAGATTAAAAACTTTTTCAAATAATCGATTTTTTTTTGTAGCAAAAACGGGACCAGTTCGAAAAAAGCACTTCTTGGCAAGGCTTAGACTCCTAAGCTAGACAAGGGTAGTGTAGAACACTGCTCCAATCTAAGCTCCAATGGTCGCTATTTTTTGGGCTTACTTTTACATGTACTCAGAGTATAAGTTGACCCCCAAAATTTCGCGATCTAAATTTTCGACTTATACTCCGAAAAATATGGTATTGGTAAACAAAATGATGAGGTAGTTTCTGCCGCGAAAACTGCAGTTTTTGTATAAGCAAAAATGCAGTTGCAGCGCAGGCAGGCTGTCTGGCACTCATTTTAAAAAGTGGTTAAAAAAATTGATTATTTTGTGTTTATCACTTCATTCAAGGTATACTCTGGCTTTGACTTCCAGATCTTTTATATATTGCCTTATGGGGTTAGTTTTTAGGAGACCTCTGTGATATGCAGACTGAGAACCCCTGTTATTACATGAGACAGACGAACAAAAATATATAAAATCGCTATCTGTTCACTTTTATTATCCAAAAGTGATAGCCACAGGCACCAATCGTAAGTCTGTAAGGCTTCAAGTCCTACTAATGATCTCTATTGTGCCTTCATTGTTGTTTGTAGGGCTTTGAGTCCTACTAATGATCTCTGTTGTGCCTTAATGAGTCTGTATTCTCCTTTGTCTTAGATTCATTCATATATTAACTTATAGCTTGGTGATTTAATCTTTGAAATCAATCATTTTCATAGCATTCCTAAATGAATGTTATTTTGCATCTCCCTCATTTCCATTTTAAAATGAATATATTATACAAATATTGACTGCTCATGAGGGGGATGGTTAAATCTATTGCCCCGAGGTGATGTGACGACCATAGCCAAGATAGGCTTATGGTTTCCACATCACCAAGGAGCAATAGATTTCACCGTTCCCTGAATCTAGAGCAGTCAATATTTGTTTTATATACCTCTACAAGGCCTAAAAAAATCCTTATTTCCTAGCCTAGGCTAGCTAGAGACCTACTTCTACTACTAGTCTAGGCGATCAAAAAGTGTCTTGCTCTTGCTCATTTCCTCAATTTCAACAGCACCTATCGTATTGTCGAATATTGACAAGACAAATTTAATTTAATTTGGTTCTTTTGCAAACGGCTTCATTAAGAAATAATGCTAGGCCTGGGCTAGTCCTTCTTCATCCAGGAGCTCAAACCGACCAGCCTCCATTGTTTATCGTCTACTCGCTGATCCGTGGCGCTGCCAAGGGCAAATCTCTTTCGTCGTAGAGGTACAGTGTAGCAGTTCCCTTTACTGTCAGCACAATGTTAAGTGGGACCTAGAGTTTGCACATCACACGACAGGGCAAAAAAGTACTGTTTTTCAGGGGAATATTACTTTCTATTATTCTTAACCAAACCAGACCAAACAGATGTCTAGAATCTATGTATAAGGTATTATATATTAGTAATTAATCACTTTTCATCAGTGGTCTATTATTACAGGAAGACAATGTGATGGTGTTTGGTTTCTCTGTCTGGTTTTTTTTTTTTTGTTGACATTTTCTTGTTTAACTTTATAGCATTTTGTATTACACTCTTGTTTCCAAAGAATTTAAAATACTTTCATCCTGCCACCATTTTACTGTTTTGTTATCTTTATCATTATTTTTTTATAAATCATATTTGGTGCTGCCAAGAGGGGAAACTGTAACAGGGGCAAGGTTTGGTGTGGTGTGGGTTACGAGCGTGCAACTGGGGCTAAAGGAGCAACATTTTTTTTGGGGGGGGGGGCCCTGTCAATCTGAAGGGGTCCATTATTAGGGTACCCATGCCATAATTGAGGGTCCATGATAGTAATTATTGTTTTTGAAAGCAATATTGGAAAAAAAAAATGCTACCTGCAATTTTTATGGTAAGCTTGGGCATTGGAAATCTTGTTCCCCCTGCCCCTCTCGGTGACACTGATTACTACTACTGTCATTTGTCCATAACAAACCATAATAAACAGCAATTCAGCTATAGGTATTACAGAAAATATTTGAAAAACCGAATACATTTATTACAGGTAAACATGCTATTCCACTACTCTTGACAAAAAAAAAAAAAAAAAAAAATCAATTTATCCCTTAAGATATTTTAAGAAGTTGAGCTTACGTGGGTAGCTTATTGGGTTTTAGGGCTTATTGAAAAATGCTGTGTTGAAAAGCAGAAGTGGATAAGTATTGATAAATTGGGGAGCGCTGCTATGGATTGTAGGATGAACGATTCTCATATTTCCAATCCCTGAGGTTTAAGTTTCCTGCATCTCACAGAAAACCAAACCCCACTCCCTAAGCTACAAAAATGTGACAGAGTTTGCAGAGTACCCATGCACAGAGCCATGTACGTGATTTCGAACTATATTTTTACCTATTATTTATTTTTATTATTTATTAATTAGTTTTTCTAAATATTTTATTATTTTAAAAAAATGTTTCTTTTTACTGGATTTTTATCAGTGTGATATTGGGCAGCTCACCAGTATGCAATCTTCAACTCTTTTCTAAAGATTGCACTACATTCTTTAATGTGCACATAGGCCATATTGCTCACAGGACCAATGGCTTAAATGTTGCATGAAACACAAGAAGAGTGGATACAATTAAACTGGAGTAATAAGTTCTACGAAATTTTTTTCTTAATGTTTATTTGCCATGCATACCAAGAAAAATATTAAAATAAATTGAAAAAATATATAATAGGATTAATAAAATTACCTTTCCAAGCATCACAAGCCTTATGGTGAGTGTAACTGCAGGGCTTTCACCGGTCATTTTGTCTTCAGACGTCATAATGATAGAGATGGTTAGATTTAGGATGTACCGACAATGGATATAAATTAAGGTTAACACTCAGGAACTAGGAAGAAAGCTACAAAGACAAAAAAAAAAAATTGATTAAAACATATCTCAGAACTATCATCTGTGTAATATAAAAATATAAACAGTTTTATATATTAATTTTAATACACAGATTGGTTTTCCAAGAGGCTGTGTCCTTAAACTACTACAGCAAACAATTTCCAAAGCAAAAGAAAAATGGATAGGTAATTGTAAAATTAAGCAAAAGTGTTAATAACAAATATAAATTTTATAGATTATAGGCTTAATTTATAAATCATATTGCATTATATTATAATATTCTTTGAAAATATATTAGAAGGTAACATAAAATAAATAGGGAATATCATATACAGTACAGCAATAAAAGTAGCCAGTGCAATAAAAATGAAAATATAATGCACAAAGAGAAACATGATGCACGGCTGGCATTTACTGCATGTATGTTTTTAAAGATATCGCAATAGTTTTTTTTGTTTTTCTCCGGTCTCTTCCTGTTGTTGAATGCTTTCTGAATCTAAATAATAAAACCACAACTGAATTCAAATGATTTCACCGGATGTTAGAATTTTTTTCATCTGTACAGATTATTACATGTCAGAAAGTCTGATAAATAAGTCTAATAAATATGGAAATGCAAAAGATTGAGTATATAAAATTAATGGTGCACCTGTCTGCTTTCTTAAAGAAAATAGATGAGATATTTGCAAATGAGATGACTTTAAACAACATTAAAACCATTATTCTTTTCTTAATTCTTCTTTTTTCTCTACAAAATTTGGTTTTTACCAAGTGTAAAATGACAAATTATAGGAAATTTAATTTCCTAAAAACAAGGTATGAAAGTTCATATAATTATGTAAAGTGACCGTTAAAAATATACTTCATGTTCTCTCTTGTGCCGTATTTCATGTTACGCAAATTGTAGAAGAAACAGTAATGACATCTCCTACTGATTTCGTCAACAAGTTATTTCGCAAGTAGCTAAAACTGTTTACAATTTATGAAGAAATTTTCCCTGACAAGCAAGCGATCAATTGCAGTGAAAAGGATATATGAATGGAATAATTATGTAATTATTATTTAATTATTTTATATTCTCTAAAATACAAGTTTACTGATTGATAGAATAATAATTATACAGAAATGTAAGACAGCTTTAATAATAATAATTTATTTGGAATCTTCACTTTTATAACAGTGGCACACTTCCTCTGAAGGTGAGTCCAAAAAGAAAACCAAATTAACAAGTAAAAAGCAAGTCAGAAAAATTAAGACCACTTACAAAGAGCTATTAACAACAAGACCTACAAAAAATAAAGATTATTAGATGAAATATATAAATAAAAAACAGAATATTAACACACAATACAAAGTTACAAATTAAATGATAAATGATGATGATAACATCAAACCTGTTAGGTTATATAAGCTTCACTTTGACCAGACCTATATATCTAAATATACACTTATTAGGCCGGCCCAGGGTCGGCTTAAATACAGCTGACTCGGGGCCGACTCAAACAAATTTTCTGTTCACAGTTAGTATTTTAAGTCAGCCCAGGCCCACCTTACGAAGGTTCACACTTCTTTGGGCCAGGTCGATGAATTGTAGGACAGGAAGTTCGAGGCGATCGCATTACATGATGGTGGAACGGTAAATCGCAACCTAGCATAAACCATGGAGGAATAAACATAAACATATAGAATTCGTGCGAAACATGAACCTAATTTCAAATATTGTCCTTATACTTTTTCGATTTTTTAAGTGTAGCATTCTGCTTCATGATTATGGCGACAATAATTATTATAATAACCAAGGCCTATAGTTAGCGCAGCTCAACTTTACTCTGTGCAAAAACCAGCCTTGCGATTTCAAAAGTCCATACCTGTATATTGTAAACTGTATAGGCCTATGTAAGACGGAAGGTTGCTGTCAATGTTTGGACACAGATTGTGAATATGTAGCATCGAGATCTATCTATTTGGCAATAATAAGTATTTTCATATTAGGTTCATTCACAAACAATTTTTGACGCTTTTTAGAACCACCTTCGCTCACGTGGTCACATGAGTAGCTTCACAAACGTCGACACAAAACGCACGTGGTTGGTGAGGATGACTTTCACAGAAAGAATGATACCGCTATACAGTGTTATGATTTTAGAATATAAACTTGTGAAATTAATGTGTGCTATACAAAAACGGGGTTTCTTGAGCTTGTAATAGGCCTATATATTTTTTCTCTACTGGAATTCAACTGTAGAAAAGAAAGTCCAAGCATACATCATCTGCCAAATTGCCCATGCGTAAGCTTTGTATCACGTGGTATTTCCCCACGTTTACAACTTGGTTCATGATGCTTATGCTTCGCACAGACGCTGTGAGTAATAATTAGTTAGGCATGGAGACCTTATATATAACAACTCTTATTCAAAAACATCAGTTAACTGAATACAATTTACTCTAGAGTTTCCTTAACAATTTATTTCTCAATGGTTTTTTTATCGTGCAAGTCAGTTCAAATGAATGTTGTGGTAGATAAGATGTCAAAATCTACCGCAATCAGAGCTAACTTGGGCCGGCTCAGGTTCGGCTTACGTTCAGATATAAAGTTGGGTCGGTCCAGGGCTGGCCCAGGTCCCGCATTGCAGGACCTGAGCCGACTCAAAAGTCGGACTAACTTTAGGTCGGCTCAGGGCCGGCTTAAAATTTATTGATTGTTCAGACTTAACAAGGGCCAACATAACTCTTAAGTGTGATTTGGGTCTTTGTTTACACTGACTGACCCTAAATCTAAATTGTTTAATGCTAAAGAAACCAAAAACAAACGTTAGATCATCCTTACTTAAAAACCACTTTAACCAAATGGGTAGAATTTTAAAAGATTGGTTTCCACTGGTGGTCTAAAGTTTCTATCACAGGCAACCTCCTCACTGGGAAGCACTGAATTCCTAGGCGGCAGGTTGTCTCAATTACAGATAATTTCATCAGATTTTTAGGAGAAAACACCACACTATCAAGAGTGGGTGTAGCCTGGCAAAACCCTCCGCTTGTTGCAATTTATAATTTCCTGCAAGAACCCAAAAACATTTTCATGTTTTTGCATTTTATAAAAGAAGATATAGTGAAGAACATTTCTGCAAAATATCAATTACTACATCTACTTGAAAAGTATTAAAATTATTTTTAAAATAAACTATTGATTTTGAAATCTTTAGAAGCGGTTTCTGAAAACCTAAATGGCTGATATCCAATGAAGTAAATATTCATAACTTTGCTAATAACGTTTAAAAAAAGAATTCATGCAGAGTTTAAGAATACCAAAAACTAAATTTGAATTTTTGATACAAATGGCTGGTTTTGCCACAGCCGGTCACAATTATATAGCAAAAATTTAAAAAACAACATTTAGAATGTGAATAAAAAATCATATAATAGATTGCTCTAGTGTAAACAATGGGCTTATTCGACTGGTTCATTTCGTTGACTACGATTTTTCGTTGAGTATTATTTTCGTAAAAATAGACTTTGTTGACAACAAAAATTAACATAAACCAGCATGTGTTATTCAGCATTATAAGGCCGATTGGTCAGTTTAGAAACATTTGCATTAATATACTTAAGATTAAATCTTAGAAAATAAAAATTATAATATTTACCCACATGAAGTCAAAAAATAATTGTAGGCTAACAGAATTCAAAAACTGGATGAAAATATTTTTATACCCGAGGCAATCTTGATTTAAATACGCAGGGTGTATCACAGAAACTATGTAGCCATTGTGTTTTGTAGAGTATTTACAAGTTTTATATCCGACTGGTTGTCTTTGTTTTTTTACCACTGTGCAGGTGGGCGTGGTTTAACAAAGAATAACCAGTCGAATACGGTCAATGAATCTTTCCAAAGTGTCAATCAAACTTAACAAGTGACCAATCATATTAGGGTTAGGAATACATGCTTTTCCCACCTACACGTTTGTTTCACAAACGCACATGCTTACAGTACGTACGTTAGCACTGTTAAATTGCAACAACATCCAAGATGCAGGGTTTAGCGGAACGATCTATTGCTTTATTTCTCATTGGATAATTACAACAAAACAATCTATCTGTGCCATTTCTCTCTAAAGCTCAAGTTAGGAGACTACGGTTATTGGGTACAATTAATGTATCTCTGTACAATTAAACTATAAAAAAAAAGCTATTCCACTGAAATGATGTGAAAAACACAATGAAATTACATCATTATCTTTCTAACTACTAACATTATTAGGTGTTTGTTTTCAAATTGATGGAGCGGATATTGAAGATTTGTGGTAAACCATGAATAAGGCAGGAGATGGGGTTGCACTAATCTCATTTGAGAGAACCCCTTCAGGCAATGTAGAAATCTTTAGCAGAAAGCTTTTGATTACTGTAATCAGCTATGGTCGATTTCTTTTGATTACTGACAGCAAGGAAAAGCTGGTACATGAGCACATTACCCTGATCAAAGTGGTATTTTTTGTTAATATTTGAACCAATCAGATCCAGCCACTAGCATACGATGCTGCTGTACTGTTTAGGTACATTTTAGAAGAGAAATGACTAGCAATCAGGCTGCATTCAGTATCCTAAGCCACTGACATAAAACAACTGATGGTCTTTTGTATGGCTATGTGCTAGATTATGACAATGATTTTGATGATGATGATACTTACGACAATGATAATTATGATAACCACAATACTAATGAAAATATTGATTTGATCACGGCAGTATAATTTGTTAGGGCTTGTTACCTGTAACTGGTCATGACTATTTTCATAACTATGTGGCTATACTGTATGACAATGTTTTTAATGATGATGATGATGATGATGATACAACAATGATAATTACAAATACTATGAAAATACTAATAATAATAATAATAATAGATTTTCACTTTGCTTTTATTTGGCTTGCACATTAAAATACAATGATAACAACAATACTGATTGATGATACTTTATGACAGAACTTTTCATAATTATAATAAAAAATGCT